AAGTAAAAGCAATGCAGTTCTAGGGACATAACTAATTTGTCTTGTTTTGTTCAGAATGTAAACCATGTCCTGTMAGCACATCACCCATGTATGGTTATGACATCAAATGGTGGAGAAGCATTCCTCCAAATATGAAGGCTTCATGTTTCTCAATATCTGGTATGAATTTTGACAGTACATATTACTATATTTGAAATAAAAACATAATTTTGACAAGTGTACATTCTGTTCAATGCTACATTCTGTTCAATGCTACATCCAACCATCTAACAATATTGAAGGGGCAGATGCAAAAATGTGTAATTTATGTGTATAAATATTTTTTCCCTCTCTTTTTAGAAAGAAATCACAAAAAATAAGTAGCAAACATGACTCTTTAGACTAGACATATTTTAAGTGATTAAAGACAATTTTCTTCAATACTCCAGTTTCGAATTCACAGCACAAAACCGCTACTTTATTTGACAACAGATTCTCTTGTGCAAAGACCTTACAAACACAAAAGAGAGCTGGGAATACAGGGTTAGCCTCAACTTGGGGAGAAATGTAGATTGTTAGTGCTATTGTACAAGCAACATTTTCTCATGCTTTCTTTTGTGTTTGGTAAGTTCTTTGCATAAAAGGGTGGGAACTAGCGGCAAACTAGTGTGAGCTGCGTCTGTGTTTCTAAAGAAACAGTTATATAAAAAGATATATTTATCTTTTTACATAACTGTTTCTTTGCGTAAAAGAACCTGCTGTCAAATAAAGCAGCGGTTATTCGATTTGAATTCGAAACTGGAGTAGTTAGCGAAAGTTTCAAAAATACACTGAAATTTCATTTATGCYGTTTTCACATCCAATCCCTCAATTATTGTACAAAACAACAAATATTGCAACGTGCACTAATAATGTTATTGGATAAGTATTATGATAATTGTGTAATCTGTAATGGCCTATTATTTCTTATATTCAAGAGCGTGGATGTACGTCAAGGATAGGCTGGCAGCCACATGGTAACTACATTAGCAGTGGAATCAACCATGGCGACGATGTGTACTTACTGCTCAAGCTTACCACCAAGGGATTTGGGCCACCTCAGGGAAAAGCTGGAGTCTACGGAATGGTGACTTTCGTGTTTGAGATGGACTGTGAGGGAGACTGTCTCTTCAAATTCAAAAAGGTAAATTATTTTATTTTATTTATTAATTGTTTGTCCATCTATCCATCCTTTTCTTGTTTGTTTGTTTTTGTTTGTAACAGTTTATTAGTGATTGAAAAGGTTTGTGCTTTTCTTGTTTGTTTGTTTTTGTTTGTAACAGTTTATTAGTGATTGAAAAGGTTTGTGCATAAACAAAACTTGTTTTGTGCAAAAAGTCTAAGTGTGTCAAGTCTAAAGATACGTTGAAGTCAACAGAAAAGAAAAATATGAAGTCTTGTCTGTTTTGTTTGTTTGTAACAGTTTATTAGTGATTGAAAAGGTTTGTGAATAAACGAAACTTGTTTTGTGCTAAAAAGTCTAAGTGCGTTAAGTCTAAAGATTCATTAAAGTCAACGGAAAAGAAAAATATGAAGTCCTATTTATTTGTTTTTTTACTTGAAAAGAAAAATATGAAGTCCTATTTATTTGTTTTTTTACTTATTTTTTAAGATATATATTAAACTCATTGTTGTATCTTAAAAATCCTGTTCCAGACTGAAGCTTATAAAGGTGAAACAATCGTGGAATCTTGGAAAGGGAAGCATACGAAGACTAAATACTCGTATGTACTTGCTATGCTTTAAAACTGATTTTATGTTTGCTTCAGAACAAAGATTTTTGATGTTTGTTTTCTTACATACACCTACTTGCAGAAATGTTGTCATAGAAAATAGAACATTTGAATTTAGTAAAAAGGAATTAATYAAAATAAGACAAAAGAGAGCATTCAGCCTCAGTGATCTTCTTTTGTTTTTGTTTTTTTTTTTAATTTTATTCCTTTTTACTAAATACAAATGTCCTATTTTCTATGACAACGTTTCTGCAAGTAGGTGTATATCTGTGCATMTCAAAATACAACTAAACATTGAATTATAATAAATGATGAAGAATGCTCTGTAAYTTTGTTAGGTATATAGTGTCATCTCAAGGGAAAACTACCTTTAGATGGACTTTCCAGAAGTTTTCTTCTGATGATAGTTTTACTGATCAAGGGTTATCAGAGTCCCACAAGTAYTCAAATGACAGGTATTGACAATCTCGTTGACCTTCCACCAGGAACAATTAATTCCTACATTTTTATTTTATGTGTTTATTCAATTCTAATTGTAGACAGTTTTAGTTTTAACAGCATTTAGTAGAATAAAATCATCATAAGCTTGTCGTCTTGAATTCTTGATGTGATGAGCATAAACACAAGCACAGACACAAGAAAAAAAGAAAAAAAAACGATTGTTCATTGTGCTTGTGAACGTATTGTTCTTTGTCTGAACAAAGCACTTGACCAACTTTGGCAGACAAACAGCATAAAATGTCAATGTAGGACAAGCTGTGCTGTAAATATATTTAACTGATGACGATGATGCTGTAGACAGCGAAAGCTCGGAATCATAATTTTGTTGTAAACTCGATCTACCGATCTATCGATCTTAGCGGCTTCGGCTACATTTTGTATTTTCCACATCACTCAACTATGCTGCTAAAGGATAACTTTCAATATTTAACTGTTTTTGTCTATGTTAACCCATGTTTGATGTAAAAAAACTGCTTTTAAAATCACAATTTTAATTAAAATTCTTTAATTTTAGGGTTAAAATCTACTCTTTGAATGTGACRAACACTCTTGATGGTGGTGCTGCTTCTTGTAAAGACTGTCCTGTCACCTCAAAAGACAGGTATGTCCTGTCCTTCTCTTGCTATTTAAGCCATAAACAATTTCTCTATTAAGACAGTGATATCTTTTGATGCTGAAAAACATCAAGAAATTTCTTCATTCATAATTTTTGAAGTGTTCCCAACATCAGAACTTTATTTCAGTGACAAACAACATTGTCAGTCCATCTTTTATGATATCCAAGTGTAGAAAGATCTTAATTTGTAAAAATAATGTTATTATTGAAAACCATTCTTGTATTTATTGGTGGGAGATTATTATGTAATTCTGGTCATATTTGATTCTTCATCTTTCATAGGAAGAAGTCATTGTGAGTGACTATAAAAGCAGACAACTATTTGTTAGAATTATTATTTTTTGTTTGTTTTGCACATTTAATTTGATCATGATATTAAAATATATGATAGTTGGCTTTAAATAATATTGCAGGATGACCTAATTCAATTTCTTGTACATAGAAAATATATATTTTGTTATAATTCTCTAGTTGTGTGTCATGTCCAACTGGAAACTACATTGATGAAGCACAAAAGAAGTGTGTTCCCTGCCCTAAAAGTAAGTTTACATATTGTACAGGTGGACTGTACTACTTGTCCTGGTCTATACAACCCTAATATACATTATAAAGCAGGCTACAGTACAAAATTAAGTGGGAGTCTCAAGCCAATTTTGTTGAATAGAATTTTTATGTTTCTTTAATTACTCAACATATAATTCTAAATTCATATGTCTGTGTATACCTCTTTGACCTCTTTTTATTAATTGTGTTTACTTTCAGACACTTTTCTCAATGTAACTCATCCTTATGGCTTGAAAGCATGTCTAAAATGTGGTCCAGGGCTTGTCAGGTAGATTAACTCTTGCTCTATTTTTGTTTCAATTCATTGTGCTTTGTTGTATCCATTTTTTAATTTTATTTAGTTTTATTTGTGGTAACATCTTGTGTATTTTTTTTAGTGATGAGGGGTCTATATCATGTCACTCTGACTGCAAGTTTACATCAAAGAAGTTTAACAGAGAATTCGACTTCTCAAAACTCCAGGGGTACGTCATTGAACTCCTTTTTGTATTTTTTTGTTGTATTTTTTTATGACAATTATTGTTATATATATATAATTTGCAGGCAAGTTGTTGTTGCTGGTGCGCCATCATTCACCACAAGAGGTTCTCGTTACTATCATGTCTTCCACATCAGTTTATGTGGACACCCATACAAAGAGTCTGTCTGTCACAGCAATGTCAGCGTTAACACAGGACGCAAAGAAGAGTTCAATTTAAGCTCCAGTATTTGTCGTTATACTATGATTCCTAACCAGCAAGGGTCTGGACTCGCTGCCCAACCCATACGGTATGATACCAGTTACTTAATGTAGAGGTAGTGAGTGTGAGAGTATAGAGGGCCACAAGTTAATCRGTTTTTCACTGTCATATATTTACCCTCTTAAAATAAAGTTGATTATTATTATTATTATTATTGTGAGGTCGCACACTTTATTCAGTGGTAATTTTTCTTGACATTTGGTGTCAACAAGACTCCTAAAAATCTCAAGACAACAACAACAACAAA